ATACACACACACAACTGCTAGGGGTGTGTGTTCACGGTGTGTGTGTGTTCACTGCTGTGTGTGTGCAGAGCACTAATTCCAAGTATGGGTCACCATACTTGGCCACATGTCATGTCACGTCACTTTAAATAATTCCAGTCTTGCTCGAGAACTCTGGTCTGATGCACACGGGTTCTCGCGTTATTTCCTTATCACTTCTCACGTGTTTTGTTGTGAAACGTAGTTTGCGGACCAGACAGAGCTGTCATGTCATGCAGTGTGAAACCCCCTGTTGCCGATCCATTGTGCAATGTGAACACAGCAGCAACTGAATATGGAGCCAGATCGGCCTCAAAAACAATACATTTATCAAACAAAATTCATAAATTCACAGCACAATTTACATTTACAAAATCCGATTCGTACATTCAAAACACAATTCATAAATACAGAAGTAAAAGCATAAATATTCCCCCAAATGCTCACACAAAAGCATCTTACCTATGTAAATTTAAAATGTTTACACAAATATGTATATATAAAGTTCTTGAATTAATTTCATCACACATTTATTAATGATGTTACATGTATTTATGAATCGTTGAATTTGCATTTATTCAAAACACAATTCATAAATACAGAAGTAAAAGCATAAATATTCCCCCAAATGCTCACACAAAAGCATCTTACCTATGTAAATTTAAAATGTCGTTGAGCTTCTTGAGGCTGTTCAGTAAAGAGCGTTTTGATTGGTTGGCTGAACGGAACATCCTCCAAAAAAAGATATTTATGAATGTTAACCTGCCAGGAAGGTCTGAAAAATACCATACACAAATTCAAAGCAGTCCACGCATGTGTGATGATTTGCAAATGCAAATTCAACGATCCATAAATACATGTAACATCAATCATAAATATGTGATGAAAATTAATTCAAGAACTTGATATATACATATTTGTGTAAACATTTTAAATGTATTTAGGTAAGATGCTTTTGTGTGAGCATTTGGGGAAATATTTATGCTTTTACTTCTGTATTTATGAATTGTGTTTTGAATTTACGAATCGGATTTTGTAAATGTAAATCGTGCTGTGCATTTATGAATTTTGTTTTACAAATGTATTATTTTTGAGGCCGATCTGGCTCCATAACTGAATGCTACCCCAGATAGTCCCGCAGTGTGAAAACAACGGCGATCCGACGAGTTTGAAAATCATGCAGTGTGACCTCGGCATCAAGAGATGACTGTAGCAAAAGCACAACACCTGATATTTTCACTAAATATAGGTCAACAGATGCTCACACTTAGTTTATCATAACAACAAGCTTAAGTATGGCAGCATATTTACAATTTAATGTGCCACCATGCCAAATGCCTACTGACACCATTGCTGACTGTTTTGGCTCAAATTGAGCAATTTCCAAGTATATGAACTGTAATAGTTTTTTTCAAATACCAACATGTTCAAATATATAAAAATGCCAACACTTCAATAAATTAATTAATTAATACATATATAAATTATTTTAAACTATTAAATTAAAATACATAAAACCTAAAATGAAATAGAATGTATTTTAAATAAATAAATAAATAACCAGTAACTTCCTTAAAACCTTTTATGGGGAAAAACAGGAAAATACATGATCAGTGCTTGGTAAGCATTCGTACTTGTACAATACAGCGCCACATGAACCTGCAGACTGCAGTGTAGGTCAAACAACCATTTCCCACCTGACTCGTCCACTCTCCAGTCGTTTTAAATCTTCATCTCTCAGAAGCACTTGACGGATGGCTGCCTCTTCCTCAGCAGACAAAAAGCTCAAGTCAATCAATTCCAGTGCACTTTTTGATTGTTTCATCCTGGTCAATAAAACCAAGCGCTTTTCAGCAGCCGAGAACTTTTCCCCAAGGTAAACAGCCTGCAAACCACCGCGTATTGCTCAAATCGGAAATTTGTCAACCCGTGTTCAAACCTCGCCTGCACAGATGTTCAACTCATTTCGCATGATTGAGGAAGAGAGTTGCTAGACTTTTAACGCGCGTGTAACAATCATTCACATTCACACAGTGTAAGAAAACACGACGTGACGTCATCTGTCAACATTCCGTTTGAGAATAGTTCATGTTTCACTGATCCATGTCCTTCAGGAGTAGCCTAGCTTCCTGAACCACAACACATATAGGTGAAAATCAATGTTTTCAATGATAATAATATTTGCATAGACTGTACATCGTTTAACAATATTATTTCACATACAACCACTTTTCTTACGTTGCTGCTGTTCATACTGTACATATAACCCTACATTTGCACTCCTATTTATATTCTGTACATACTCTGTTTAATATTGTATATCGCAACTCCACTGTACATACTATAAGTTATAGCTTCACTTACTTTGCACTTATCTGTATATAAGACACTATATTCTTGCACTTTTGGTTAGATGCTAACTGCATTTCTCTGTACTTGTAGCCTACTCTGCATTAAAGTTGAATCTAGTCTCATTTAATCTAATTATTAATTATTTATAAAATGATTGCATTTTAATATTCAGTAATAATGTTTCTTTTTTTGTGGTTATTATTGTTATGCACCCCACGTATATAAATATATTTTAATGTTATATTATGAGTCCCACTAAAAAAAGACACATACAACTTACAAAATAACATTGAAATGTATTCATAAAATCCATTATGAGTCTAAAATAAAAATACTTTTGTTTATTTTTCGTCATCCAGACATAAAACTATTAAGCAATGTGCTGTTTGTGCTGGATTAGACTTGCATTTGCGTTTGTAATTTGTTATTTTGTTTTCAGAATTGTGATTTGCTTTGCACTTCTCGGTCACCGTATAAACATCAGGAAAAACATATCACTGAAACACCAGTAGGTGTCAGTAAATACTCAACAAAAGCACATAGGTCTCAAAAAGGAATATGTGACTTGAGGTTTCGTTGATAAATCAAATCTCTGTCTGCTGATCAGATCATTCTGAGAACGTGTGTGTGTTTAAATAATATATTAATAATTAATATAATAATAATACACATAATGAGTCTTAGATACTTGTAGTGAAAATAAAATATATTAAGAGAAAAAATATGATATATATATACATACATATATAATATATATTTTGTGTGTGTGTGCGTGTGTGTATATATATAATGCACACACACACATATATATGTAATGAGTCTCAGATACCTAATGTAGTGCAGATAATAACAATTACATAGTGAAAACAAAGATGAGTTATCGTAATCAAATAAATTAATTAAAAACAATAATAAATCATATATACTTCGTATACACTATAATATGATATAACATAATATATAATAGTTTATGTGTATACAACTAAAACAAATTATATTAATCGGGTAAACTGAGCAAACTACACTTGTTGGTGTGTCTTCGCTCGTGTTATTTTTTGTCGATAGTTAATTTGTATTTATATCACGTATCTGCAGCAGAAAAGCTGTTTGTGAGGTAACCATACTGCTCTGACGTCATTTACAACTCTCTCTCCTCGCGCTGCACCCGCCACTGTGCGTGAATGTGGCGAAGCTCGAGTGTTACATTGTAGCGCTCAGTTCGTTGTCATTCGTGTCCCGCCACTGACTACTGACTGATGTAGACCAATAACAACTACATCTGTCACGTAGCGCTAATATCAGACGCTAAAAAGATTGATTGCGTGGCGAGTCGGGTGAACAGTCGCTGATCGACACGTAGAGAGAAACAGCATGATGGGTTTACATGCATTCATATGGATGACAGGGATACTGATGGCGCAGGACCATCCTTAACCTACTTGCGAGGGATTTGGGATCGTGACAGTACGTGAAGATGGCGACGGGGACGGGCTGGCAGCCGCCGTACAGCGCTGCTCCGAGCATCAGTTCTTCTCCCGCTGCTGCTGCTTCTGGATCAGGCACCAGTCCATCCTCCACATCCAGCCATTTACTCTACGAATCTGCGCTGACCATGGAATACACTCAAGATCTGCACCTGAAGATGAGTAAAAAAATAGCACAACTCACTAAGGTAGGTATGATCACATTGCTTGTATTTTGATCACATTATCTCAACTTTAATATGAATATACTGTAAACAGGATTTTGCATGATATTTAATCCGTACTATCCCCTATAGAGAAGATGCCCTACATATAGAAATTTTTGCACCGCAGTGTTTTTTCCCCTGCAAAAATCTGTTTATAATCCCAGACAAAATTTGCTAGCTGTATTTAATCTGTGATTAATTTATACAAAAACAATTCAGCAAGGCATGTTACATAATGAGTCTTTAATGCAGAAATAATCAGTCTAGTTTATTAGCATCCACATTTATCAAAAGTGCATATGCCTTATTAGTTTTTACCTCTGATTTCATTTGATTATGTGATTTATGCCCAACATGAGAGCAATGTTTGCTTTGGATTCAAGACCTTGCGTGTTTTTCCTTCACTGTTTTTATGTTTAGGGTCCCAGAACTAGATGTGTGAAAACAATAACAATATTTAACCTCTTAATTTCCTTTCAGATGCTTTTAATATGTTTTTTTGGATGTAAGGAAAATCTAACATGCTGATATTTTTAAAGGTTTTACCAAAAGTAGGCATGCATTTCACAGAAATGTGACTGGTATTCATTCTAGTAATGTTTCTGTTCTAGTATGTTTCTTGAACACGACAAAAACACATTGTAAAAAAAAAAAGATATATATATATACAGTGGGTACGGAAAGTATTCAGACCCCCTTAAATTTTTCACTCTTTGTTATATTGCAGCCAGTTGCTAAAATCATTTAAGTATTTTTTTTTTCCTCATTAATGTACACACAGCACCCCATATTGACAGAAAAACACAGAATTGTTGACATTTTTGCAGATTTATTAAAAAAGAAAAACTGAAATATCACATGGTCCTAAGTATTCAGACCCTTTGCTCAGTATTTAGTAGAAGCACCCTTTTGATCTAATACAGCCATGAGTCTTTTTGGGAAAGAGGCAACAAGTTTTTCACACCTGGATTTGGGAATCCTCTGCCATTCCTCCTTGCAGAGCCTCTCCAGTTCTGGCAGGTTGGATGGTAAACGTTGGTGGACAGCAATTTTTAGG